CCTCGTAAGCTTGGGAAATCTGCTTAAACTGCAAGAAACACACATCGTGTCTCAGGCAGCAGTGCCTTGAAAGCCCAAACGGCACCCCGGCGAGCCCCCACCCCCGGCCACCTCCCCACTCGCCCCAAACGCTCCCCAGCCCGACCCCTCAGCCTCCGTGTCAGTACCCCCCGGGGCAGGCGGCCCCGCAGCCCCATCCCGTCCCGCCACCGACCTTCTCGCCCTCATTGGGGTTCTTGTCAGGGTGGTACTTGAGCGCTAGTTTTCGATAGGCCTTCTTCAGCTCCTCAGCAGAGGCGTTGGGCTTCACGCCCAGCACGTCGTAGTAGGTAGTCTCCTTCACCATGGTGGAGGACGGCCACTAAGCAGTCTTTTACTTTGTCCCTGTGAGCAGGGCTAATTACTGCCTTTCAAAAGATTTTTTTGCTGGTAATACTCATTAATGCAAATATGGTTTTACCAGAAGGAATGACCAAAGCAGGAGGAGGCAGCAGTGGGAGGGAGAGTAATTAAGGAAAAAAAAAAAAGGTATGGTCAAGTTGTTCCATTCTCTTGTGCAAAAGCTTTTAGATAACTACTGCTCTATTTGTAACACAGCAGATTTCATCTCAAGAGCCATCACAGTAACCTCGTGTGACTCCAGCTAAACTGAGATCACATGAACTGTCCTTCTAGCAGAAACTGCAGCCAGGAACCAGAGATTAAATCCTCAGGCACCACAAGCAAGCCCCTGCACACACACCCCGCAGCATGTGTTAGAATGACTCTCAGGTAACTTTCTCAGGACGTGGGTGATGTCAGGAGCAGAGTCTTTGCCTCAGTGCATGTCAGCTCCCATGCTGTGAATGCTCTGAGGATCTGTGTTCACCTGAGACACCTCCACACCAGTAGTATCTACAAAAGTAAAACACCAAAGCCCTGATGGAGGAGACTACCCCAGGAGAAACAGCACAAGTACTAGTACCAATACACTTGCCTTTTTGCTCAAAGTTGGAGATACACCAGTATTGCTTATCTTGGGATTTGCAAAACTGCCTTGTGTGCCCACCACCTCCATCTTCATTGTTTTTCTGGGCACAAGCTCTACATCATCATTCTCGCAGGAGTCCTCACATAGCATCTCGTTGGTTTGTATTTTCTCTTCTGTTTCTGTAATTGTTTTCCCCGACTCTTCAGCAAATTGGACTGTGTAGGGGTAAAGTTTATTCACAATATGCAGAACTTGGCCTGGCTTCATTTTCACCTCTTCATCCTTGCCAATAGTCACGAGATCAACACTAGTTGGGTTGACTCCTATCTTTGGTAGGGAGAAAAAGGAAAAAAAAAAAAGCAAATGATGTTGTAACTACCAGTCCATTGTCCTGGAATATCACTATCCTGGAACGCAAATGCATTTTATATTCACTGCACCCCCTCCTCACACCAACCCGCTCTAGAGGACCAGGGAAGTCCAGCACTAGAGACACCTCTCTGTGTCCTAGTCTTGCAATCACAGCTGTCAG